ATTCACAATCTCCTCATCACAGGCAGGCACAGCACTCATTTCAGCATGTGTTCGTGTTTGTGTGTGCTGTCTTCGTCACTCATAGCACGTGCCTATATCGGACATTTTTTCTATCGTTATCGAAGAAGGTGTACCGTCGATAAATATCGATACCGTTTTATCGCCCAGGCCTATTACAATGTATGGTCATAACAAGCTTCACTTCCGGTTTGACTCACGTTTGGTGGCTGGCGGGGCGGCGGGTCACATTGCAGACCCGGTACTTCCTCCGCATGGTTCCGCAGTGTGTCACCTCCATCTTCAGACCTGCACACAAACCAGCCGATGAGAGCGGGACGAACACATGCGCATAAACGCACATGAACACACATGCACACGTACCTTTAATTTCTTTGGTGAATTTGACTCGGTGCGAGTCTGTGAGGGGCCGAGGCTGCTCGTCGATGTTGTGGATGTCCAGTACCTCACACATGAACTGAATAACTGGCTGTGCTTTGTAGAAAGCTGTGGCTGACACTGCAAGACAGAAGAGATGAAAACTGATGAAAACGCAGTCCAAAATTAATACTGAAAATATAGCACGACTCTTAATACAGGGGGGGAAAAGACCATTTATTAGTCATGTAGCATAATGTTTTTCACATAGGCAAGAACACATTTTCTAGAGGATATCTGCAGAGTTTTTCAAAATTCTAATTATTTTAAGACCTTTTAAGACTTAAAAGTATTTAAATGGCCTAAAAATAGATTTATTTTTATTCAAATTAAATAAATAAATAAATAGCAGTAGTATTCTGAATATGCCATTCAGAAAGTAGTTAGTACATTATTCAGAAAGCATCCTTACTACTTAGAAATTTTTTAAAGAGTTTTTCAAAAATTCTAATTATTTTAAGACCTTTTAAGACTTAAAAGTATTTAAATGGCCTAAAAATAGATTTATTTTTATTCAAATTAAATAAATAAATAAATAAATAGCAGTAGTATTTTGAATATGCCATTCAGAAAGTAGTTAGTACATTATTCAGAAAGCATCCTTACTACTTAGAAATTTTTAAAAGTTTTTCAAATCAAATTTAAAGACTTTTTTTAAGACTTGCACAAATAAAATGTAAGCCTGTTACTTAAAGAGGCTGTGGCTCACATTCAACTTTAAAACAGTTTAACTCAAGTTTAATATACTCAAGTTCATAACGTTTTATTTATTATATACATATGCATCAAAATTGGTGTACGTACTAATATATCAATATTTACAAATTAGAGGCTGACCGATATTGGATTTTGCTGATATGATGACAATGTGTTTAAATGTAATGAAAAGATTTGCCGATATTAATAAAATCTATATAATAAATGTGTTAAATAATGTTCTTAGACTTTCCTTCCTGTGATGGGCAGCCCAGAGACAAGCTACAAGTTTATGTTAAAATTCAATGCCTGATACTGTTTGTATAATTATAAACAAAAATAAAAAAAAGATTATGCATAAAGCAGGACTTTTAATTATAAACAAGCCTGAAATACAACTGGAACTCTTATTTTGAAATGTCTATGAATTAATGCCAGATGCTCATTCCCAAAAAATATATAAGTACAATAAAATATGCACTCTTACAACTATCTACAACATATTACAATATAAAAACCATATTACAACATAAAAACCAATGTAAACATTGTCATAATATGCTAAAATTAAAAAGTTGCATTAAAAAAATTTTGGGGGCGCAATGAAAATTAATAAAATAAAGGGATACAAGAAAACATTTACAATCAGAATAATATAATTTATTAGAATACAAAAAGTACACTAGGTTTTTAAATATCTATGTTTCAAACTGCAATTAAAAAGAATGTAATTTTTTATTTTAAACTGTGTGTGTATATAATGGATTATAATCTATATTTTGACTATATATTGAATATAAACTCTATATACTGAATGTATAAATAAACTGAATTTAATACTTATGTACTTATTCATAAGCCGACTTAAAACTGTATAATGTGTGTATATATAGACAGTTTATTTTATCATTGTCTTTTAAATTTTAATAATCACATTAGGCCATATTGCGATTTCTGTTTTTCCATCCCCCAATTTAAGACTTCTTAAAACGATAATTAAGGCATTTGTTATACCATGTAAGACTTTTTATGACCTTATATTTTATTAAACTGAGCTTTTAAGGACCCGTGAGAGCCCTATCTTCATCAAATTAAAAGACAAACCAATCAACACACGACTGTCCACTTTTACAAGTTAATGTTGCTTACTGGGTGCTCAGCTGTAGGTTATCTTTATCTTTTACTCCCCATTTCTAATTGGACTTTACAAAACTTTTATCATGCTGAAATATCTGGACCAATCTAGATGTTGCTCTTTATTAGTCCTGTGAGAAAACATCTACACAAATGTTGACGTGAGCTCAAAGCCAGTGTGTTAGCGCTCTTTCTGAGCCCATTCACTCCATTATAAGTGTGACAATGAGCCAGTGAAAGGAGAGACGATTTCAGACGGTTGGACTTTTCCCTGCCCTTTAGTAGGGAGGGGATGGAGCAGCCGACACAGCCAATTGAATTGTGGGAGTCTGTGAGAGCGGGAAAACACACAGACAGAGTGACACAGAACTGGTGAACTTGGAGAGAGAGAAAAAGAAAGAGAGACTCATTTAACGCCCCCCTTCAATCAAACAAACCCCCACCTGCCATCTTTCAGCCCTTCATCCCCCCGGCAACAGTGTGAGCGGTTCCCACACTCTGTGCTAACACACATGCTAAACTCAAACAGTGCACACCGTCAATGTTGAGCATCATCTTCCACATGGCCGGCCGAACAGACTGGTGGAAGCCGAACCACACCTCTCTGCCTCCACCCAGAGGATGGTAGTAGCCTTCAGGAGGGGAGAAGAAGGAGCGTCCCACTGGAGTGTACCTGCAGATGAGATGGACACAATAGTTAGCAGAGTAAAGCATAAAAGCCAGAAAAATAAAAACCAACGCATGTTTACTAGGGTTTGAATTTGATTAGACTCGGGAACGATTTGAGCAAATTCCAAATGATTTGATTCAATCTGATTCATTTTCAAATAATGATGTGATTCTGTATTAAAGGTGGGGTAAGCGATTTTTCAAAAACGCTTTAGAAAACTGATGTTCCCTTCAGAGATTCATTCATATAAAACACCCGCGCCACGTTTTGATTTTGAAACGTGCAGTGCTCATGTTTATTCAACGAAGTCAAACGGCACAAATAAATCAATGTATGGGAAACTGGTAATATATATCGAAATATCGGAAATGTGTTTAAAAATCATATCACCGTTATTGAAAAAAATTATATCGCGATACATATTGATATTGAATTATTGTCCAGCCCAAGGTTTAAAATGCTGCATTTTATTAGGGATTCAGTGACACTTGAGGGGAACTGACTTCAGGCATCCACTAAAACCACCAGCTGGAAAGTTAGTTTTAAGAAAACCTAAAAGGCGGAATGAAATTAAAACTGAAAACTAAAAAAATCAAATAAACCAAAACAAAACAAAAATCTTAATGCATGTTACTATGAAATGATTACTGGTGCATTTATTCATTTATTTAAAAAAAAAAAAGTTTTAGTTTATTTTTCAGTTCAAAAATACAAGAAAAACAGTAAAATCATGAAATATTATTACAATTTAAAATTTGTATACATTTGTATAAAACAGAGTTTTCTATGTGAATATATAGTCAAATGTAATTTATTTCTGTGATCAAAGCTGCATTTTCAGCATCATTACTCCAGTCTTCAGTGTTACACGATCCTTCAGAAATCATTCTAATATGCTGATTTGCTGCTCAAGAAACATTACTGAATAGAATAGAATAGAACCTTTTGTAACATTATAAATGTCTTTGTCACTACTGATCAATTTAATGCTGGAAAAAAAGGTTAATCTCTTAAAAAAAAAATTTTTCAACTCTAGTTGAAACTTTTCAACTCTAATTAACAGCAAAGTCGACTGCAACCTCCATTTCATTCTGACTTTAAGCATAATTTGTTTCCACAAGCCACTTGCTTTGATATTTTGATATCTTATGCATTGAAATATGCACACTGTGACCAAATAGTTTTGGGGTCATTGTGCAGAGCAATAAGAGTGTCAGGGTCACCAGCTAATGTTTATCTGAGACTCACTTCATGGAGGGTAGATGGCGTAGCACCACATCCACAGCGTGAACTGGGTTGGTGCTGATTGGCTTGTCCAGCTCCAGCGGCTCTGACGTACTGCGACCCGTTAGTACCTCGTGCAATAGGTGCCAGCTCACCAGGGACACAAATTTAATAGAGACTTTAAAGGGTCGGTCTTTACCCCCCTCCCCTGGCAGCGTAACGTCCAGATCCACCTGTGAACACATAACAAGTAGTGCAACAATCCACTATGCTGATTTGCAAAACAGGCCTTGTATTACATCATTTGATCATGCGGAGTTAAAAAATATCAATGAAATCTTTCCATCATCTACAGTGTTCTCACAAAATAAGAATCAAGGAGGAAGATAAATATATAAACTTAATTTCAGCTAGAAATGTCTCATTTTACCTCAAAATAAACAAACTAAAACTTAACCAAAACTATAGAAATGTATATAGTTTTAGTAATAACAGTAACAACAAAACACAACAAAATTACTAAAACTTAAAAAATAAAATAGAAACCATAATATAAAAATAAAATCTAAACAAAAACTATAACACATCAACAATACTAAAATAACACTGCAATGGGTATGTCAGTGTGAAATTATTTGATCACATCCAATGAAATTTAACAAAAAAAATATGCAATGATTTTACTAAAATTATGAAACTTTGAAAATCATGATTTTAATATGCATATTTCATGCAGAATGTCATTGGATAATTTGTGCAGCCAAAAACACTTCCATTGATTAAAATAAATGTTCACTGAAATTATATATATATATATATACATAACATTTTTCATTTTCATTTAGTTGAACTTGAAGTAGAATTAAAACTGAATATACTAAAACTTAAAAACTATACATATAAAAAATAAAAAAACTACTATGCTTTTGCTGACTATATAACAGAGGAAGTTTTTGAATGTCATGATGATTTTACTGTGCAAACCTCCTATAAATGATGCTAGGTGGGCTTCACACTGTTTTTTGTTCGCTTACCCCCGTGGGTGCCACAGGCAGTGGGTTGGCGGTGTAGAGGCTTTTCTTCCCATCATAAACTGGCTTTCGATCCCCAAAGATGGTGACTTTAAAGTGCTTCACCATGGAGTCCACAACTTCCCTGCAGAGACATCGCTCATCAGGAGGAGTCTGTCGTAAGTCGGTCATCAGCTTTGAGTGATTCTCCCACACAGCCTACCTGTTCACGCGGCGTGGACACTTCTCAGGCTTTATGTCGACCTCATACAGGTAGACGTCCATCTTGGGGATCTCCACCTGGAAGCAGTTGGCCAGCAGCTTGATGGGTTTCCCCACGGTGCCATAGCCGGGCCTCCGTGGCACGGAGAACAGGGCCTGGGCCCCAACGGCTCCTGAGAGGGACAGAATAACAAAATGTTACATACTAGATGGTTCAAAGCCAAATCACTCCCATTACAGGGCTCGAAATTGCGACAGTTTTGGTCGCATATGCTCCCGAAATGTAATCTCTGCGACCCCAAAATATATTTGGGAGCATCTGTGAGCCGAAACAGTGACCGCTCCACCATTCTATCCAACGTTACATAACCAATTAAGCTTCATCATTACATTCTTAACTTTAATGCGTATTTTAGATTAGGTTATATTAGCCGTCAATCACTCCCTTTCGCTGCACTCCGATGTCACGTGACAGGAAGCTAACTCGGAACCAACCGGTTTTTGTTTTATTTCAGCCGATCTCTGTTCTGGACTTGCACAAACTACATTGAAATCATTTTCCAAAATGTCATTTGTGTGGAAATATTACGAAGTCTGTAAACGGCCGTTAACAGAGGCCAGAGACGCTGAAGACAGAGGCAAAGAAAAGAAAATACTGTAGCAGGCAGAACAAGCTCACTGATAACTATGCGCGAAATATAGAAAGAAAATCCTAAATATTGAATTGGTAGTGGGGGTTTAAATTAATGCATTTCTGTCTTGACTGAGAAAAGTTTAAATGACATTTTCTTCTCATCTTGCCTCTGTATATTGCTTATATAAAGAACAAAGCATTGCAGCGCTGCTTTGTTTACAGCGGTAACCAAGCAAATGCTGTATCGCTGCTGTTCCATAAGCGCCACCTGCTGTCAGAGAGTGAATTTGCATTTTCATCTGCTAACAGACTGTCTGCTGTTTTTGTTTTCATGCAGATGTTTTATGTAGCATAATTTCACAAAGCTCAAGTCAGACCATTCTGTTTTTGCTTCAGATTTTGAAATTAGACATTCTAATTTGCATTTGAAACTGCTCATGTATGCAGCATCTTTGTTTGGATCTTGATTAAAATGCTGTGGTTGTCTCTAATTTTAAATGGCTACAGATACAGACTGTAATACAGCAGATAAACATGTACTCATATTTTAATTTTTTCTTGTCTCTTGCTTTTAAAAAAAAAAAAATGTTTTTTTAAAATAGGCTATCAGAATCAGCTTACTCACTTCTAAAACATTAGCAATCTGAATAAAGATCGATGCATCACTAACAAGAAATGCCGGGCAGTGTGTGGCAAAGAATTCATGATCAGGTTCAATAGTTTAAGCTTTTAATCATCAGGATGTTGCCAGCCCTTCCGCTCAATTGGCAGTTGTGATGCTCCTTAATATTCAGTGGGTGCTCCTAAATTTTTGCACCAGTTCTACCAAGTAAAAAAGTTAATTTCGAGCCCTGCATTATATAATGAATGAATGTGTCAACACTTCTTGCGACTGATGCAACACACATTCAGCTGACGGACATCCCGTTTCTATTTTTGTTGCACTGCTATTTGAAATTGTCTTTTATTTATAAATATCAATGTACGTGAATTGACTAATGTTGTATATTGTAATGTTTTACTATTAAATATTCAAATAATTAGATTTTAAAATATTATGTAATATAATAAATATTATAATTAATAATAATAATAATTATTATTATTTAAATAATAACTGAATGAGTTTGAAAGTGATCGTTATTTTTCTTGTAAAATTTTGATTGTGATTTAAAATGTAATATAAAATGTCAAGGTTTGCTGTGTTGTTGTAGGGCTGTACAATTTGTCCAAAATTTTGTAATTACATATCACAACAAAATAATAATATTAATAATAATAATAATAATTATTATTATTATTATTACTACAAAAAAATATAATTATTATAAAACAAAACAAAAAAATAATGGTTTTAATAACAAATACATTTATTTTTTTTAACTTAATATAAAAGTTAATATAAATAAAAAATATATAAAAACCATTTTCAAATATAACAATATATTTTCAAAGCTACCTTGTAATGGCATAAAGATGCTGAATCAAATTACATTCAATTTTACAGTAACTTCTCAAAACAATGAATAAGACTTGTAAAAAAGGTTGGCCAGTTCTGAGTTTCAGCAGAAAATGGTAAAGAGATGAGGTCTGAAGGCCTTGTGCATGTGGCAAAGACAAACCCATGGCTCTCAACAGACGGAGCCCTGGTGCCTACAGAGAGATGCTGAAAATGTAATACCAACTTCATGACTGATTTCGACAGTGATTGCAGTTAATGATTCCCTGACTGTGAGATGCCCAAGGCGCACCAGCAGACTCATCACACACTACTTCCACTCGTGGGCCATGTGAGAAGAAAAACATTGGAGTTCAGCAACTTTGTGGAGGAGGATGGGGAAAGAAAACACAATAAACAGAAGTGATGGTGATGCTCAATGAATCAAATGTTGCCACCCTCAGAAATAGGATGTCTTACCCATGAGTCACTTCAGTCCACATACAAGAGTTGTATTAAACTGAACCTCAAGGCCCACACAGTTACATCTGGCCACACATGCTTCTGTTTTTGTGGACGTGTCTCATATCTCTTATATTCAGTAATGGGCAGAGGCTAGACTGGCCTGGGATTTAATCATGCAGTCATTAAAAGTGATGCATGCAACTGGTACCTCAAAACTAAATCAATACCTTGATACAAACAGACTGTTGAATATGCATGACAGATTTGCATATCATCTGTCATCATGCCATCAAATGTAGCATTACATCATGTAGCATTGCTCAGCAATGGATCCTCTGCAGTGAATGGGTGCCGTCAGAATGAGAGTCCAAACAGCTGATAAAAACACAATAATCATCCACACAACTACAGTCCATCAGTTAACATCTTGAGAATTGAAAAGCTTTGTGTTTGTAAGAAACAAATCCATTGAAATGTTTTCATTCTAAACCGTCACTTCTGTCACTCTCCTTATCGCGATCTGTGGGCGCACAGAAAATGAGAGTTCTCGAGACTCAAAAGTACGTGCAAATGATAAGTTCCGTCACCTGTCATTGCGTTATAAGCGCTCGTCAGAACACCGGCAGAACAACAATGCGCTACATGTTTCTTTTCTCCTCATTTTTTCCCAATTGACGGAAATCCGTCGTAGCAATGGAAAACTTTAATCCCTGAGTAGTATTATGTACATCATACTGCACCACAGTAATATATTTCTGATAATTTCATTACGCTAACCCGAATTTATATTTTGACGGGTTGCCATGAGGAACTTGTTTCTGTTGGTCTATGTAA